CCCTCCAGGCCTGGCGAGTCACCGAGGCTCAGGACTACCTGTGAAGGTGCTGGGAGCCTGGCCACACTCCGGCCCAATGAGGAGGAGCCTTCGGGCCCAGTTCAGCTCGCTCTGGGTTGTCATTAAACTCTCACGCATTTCTTCCAAACACCCTGTCCGATGCCTCTTTCTTTCCTCCTTTTTCACCCCACAGCAATTTTGAACTGTAGGGCCTTAGGCTGCATGTAACTGGGAACACAGAACAGGCACCCACTGGCTTGGTGCTGTCTGCGTGTCCACCTACAGAAGCCATGGCCACGGAGGAGGCCAGCCCAGCATGACAACCGGATGTGGCGCCCCAGCTGGCAGGAGGGTATGGAGGGCACAGTACAGCGCGGCCCAGCTTCCCGGAGGCTGCTCTGAGACCGTCCTCTAGGGAGGGGACGCTCCTCAGCCATTGCCGCCATGCCCACTGCCTCATTAATGTGCAAAATAGCCGGATAGATTTTTTTACTGTTGGCCTAAGTGTGAAAAGTTGGATAATGAGATACTCGATAAGTAAAGGTGTAGTGTCACTGAACTGTACACCTGAAAAAATATCAAATTGGCAAATGTTGTGATATCTATATTCTTACAACAATAAAAAAAAATCCTTAGGGAAACATTTTCTGTTTTAAAAAAGGAAAAGAATAGTATAGATATATTACATATATGTTATATATAACTATATACACATTATATTATATATAATATTTATATATCATATATGAATTATACTATAAATAATATTTTTGTATAATATATAAAAATATGTTGTATATTTATATAATAAATGGAATGATGTAAAAATATAGAATATGATATATTATATTACATATAATTATCTCCTGGTGGGAATATAATTATATAATATAATGTAATATAGCATATTATAATATAACATAGATATACTAGGTAAATACTAACCACAAAAAAGCTGCAGTAGCTATATTAACATAAAAATAGATTTTTACAAAATTAATAATGAAAGAGAATATCATTAAGTGATGAAAAAAATTCAATTCACCTAGCAGTTACAATAATTCTAAATTTAAATGCACCTAATCAAATAGCCTCAAAATAAATAAAGGAAAAACTGATAAATCCTACATTATACTTCATGATTTTAATGTACATCATTCAATTGTTTATGCCAAGCAGACAAAAATTTAATAAATATTTTCAGTATTACAATACTCAATTAATACATTCCATCTGATAAGTATATGGATAAGAGTGTATCCAGTAATAAGAGAAGACACATTTTCCTTAGCAAACACGTTTTACTTTTTAAAAAAAAATTGATCTGAGTACTAAACCATAAAGAAATCCCTCAAAATTTCAAATGATAGTCTCTGACCATAATGTAGGTAAATTTGAAATCATTAACAGAAAGATTGTAAAATTTCCCTATGCAGTAAAAAATAATAATATGAGGGTCAAAGAGACCCAGCAGTTCCATTCCTAGGTATATACCAAAAAGAACTGAAAGCAGTTCTCGAACAGATACTTATATGACAATGTTCCTTGCAGCATTATTCATAATAGGCAAAAGGTAGGTAAAAGTAACCCAAGTGTCCATCAACAGATAAATGGATAAACAAAACCATATATACATACAACAGAGTATTATTCAGCCATAAACAGGAATCAAGTTCTGATAAATGTATGGCATGGATGAAACTTGAAAACATTATGCTAAGTGAAATAGGTCAGACAAAAATAACAAATATTATATGATCTCTATTATGAAATATCTGTAATAGGCAAATGTATAGAAACAAAAATAGCTAGTGGATTAAAGAGAATATCAAAATACCATGCTTGATTATTATACAATGAATAAAATAAGAATATAACATATCATAAGTTATCGAATACAGCTGAAATGGAAATCACAAGAAAATTGATAGTTATAAGTATTTTTATTAGTAACCCATTGCCGTCGAGTCAATTCCAACTCATAGCGACTTTATAGGACAAAGTGGAACTGCCTCATAGGGCTTCCAAGGAGGGGCTGGTGGATTCAGACTGCTACCTTTTGGCTAGCAGCCGAGCTCTTAACCACTACTGCCATCAGGGCTCCTTTATTAATAAACAAACAAACAAAAAAAGTGACCCAAGCATGCAACTCAAGAAGCTAGTAAGAAAATAGAAAACCTACAGTAATAGTAAGTAAACTGAAGAACTTCAAAACTACTTCTGGCAAAGCTAATCAAGAAAAGGGTATCTCATACTAAGAATGAGAAAAGTAATTTAACAATAGATTTACTGAGTTATTTTCTTAAATTGTAGCAGAATCTATGCATATGAATCTATGTCAAACTTTTTAAATTCTATATGAATTGATTTTTCAAAAGGAAAATATAAATTACCAAAATTGGCTCAATAAGAGATAGAAAACAACCTGAACAGATCATCAATCTTGCAAAAAGATTAAAGGTTTCAAAGAACTTCTCCCCCAAAATGAGCCAGATGTAGACACTAACACCATCACATCTAAAGAAGAAGGGTCACTCTGCGCTTCTTAAACTGCTCCAAAGCATGGTGTGTGTGTGTGTGTGTGTGTGTGTACGCATATGTTTATTGTCAATCAATATTATGAGGCTACAGTTATCCTTTTTTCAAAATATTGACAAAAATGGTGCAAAAAAGAACCATACAGATATAACTTACAGAGTATATATGCAAAAATCTTAAACAAAATACTATCATGACTTCAGGAGGTTTATTTTTGGAATGCAAGGATAAATCCATGTTAGAAAGCCTAGCAATAAATGGAGAGACACACTATGTCTCCAATGCAATGGCTTAGTATTACAGAGATGCCATTTCTACTCCAATCATTTATAGTCTAATCATCAACATCCAACTGGAAACCAACACAGTAGCCAAGAAAATTTTGAAACAGAAGACTAGTAGTAAATTTGACATTATCAAATACATGCTAAAATTACTAAAATTATGTAACCATTCCAGTACTGATATAGAAAATTATTTATATTAGCAAAATTATAAACAATCTAAATATCCACTGTTCAGTGTTAGAAATGGTTAAAATTCCTTTGTGCTATAGTCAGGCAATTGAACAGTGTGTAGTGATTAAAAATTACATGGTAGAAGGGCATGGAAAGATGTTCAAACCTTGTTGGTAACTGGAAATAAAAATTACAAAAAGATCAATAGGCTAATTTTTTTTAAGAATGCAATATAAACACAGGGGGAAAAGAACCTTAAAAGATATATACTAAATGTAAACAATGACTATTTCTCCATAATGAGATTAAATGATTTCTAATTTTACTATTTGTGCTCTTTAATATTTTTCAAATTTTTAAAAGCAAAGATAGGGATATTATTTTCATCTAATATTATTTTCAAAGGTCAAATCCTCTAAGATGCAGCATTTGACTAATTTAAATATACAACAGTGAAATTCATTTCAAATATATGTAAGGGAAATCTGTGCTATGTGCCAATGGCAAGCATCTGGATATGAGGACTCGCCAAAAAAATTACTATATGTCTGAAGGAAATAGTAAAACAAATAGCCCAGCACTGAAGTGATGGCATAGAACTGTATAGATTTTCTCTGTGCACTGGACAAGAATTTTTCATTTCATACATCATTTACAACTTGCTACAGTGATTCTGCAAAATCAGTCCATACCATTAGCACACACAAAGAGAAATACCTAATGTTCTCATTGTTAAAAAATTCTAGTGTTTTTGGGCTCCAATGTGCACAAACATCAGTGCTCCATCTAAGCATATGTCAGTCTCATAACCAAGATAGATAACCAGAGCACCATGTAGGATCACATATCTGTAGTCAAGCAGGTTGACTTTTTAAATCTATAGTCCAAGCTTGGCTTGTGCTCATAGACAAACTTAATTAAAAATATATGTATTTGAAGTAAAGGAAAACAAAATGGCAAAAGTAATATTAATCCTTCCAGAGAGGCTTATTATTTTAATGGAAACCAGCTCTGATTTCTAAAATATTTACCAAGACATTTGATTCCAAGCATCTGATATACTCAACACTTCATCAAAATGAATGTCTGATGCATTCACCACTGTACCTAAGCCCCTGCTCTTTCATTGTTATTTTCAAGTCAAGAAATGGAAAAGTATATTTCCAAGGTAGCACAAAGTCTTGATTTGTGGAATTCAGGCCAGAGAGAAAGCGCTTTACTATACAATGAAATGTTCCCAGCAGCAAGAGTTTCCTGTGTTCCTTCCTCTGGGGATAGGAAAGAGGCTCAGGAATGGCAAATGTCAACTTGGTTCTACCTCCAACACACCTTAACACTCAAACTCTCCTTCTCTTTCCTTATTTTCCTTTATGTAGGAAAACTCATACCACAACTTTCTGGTGAGTGAATTTGTCCATATCTTCAAAACTAGCTACAACCATGGAAATGAATTCCAACAAACAACATCCCATTTCCTTACCGTTGTGCTTCATTCATTTCTAGAACAATGGGGATCCAGAGTTATGCTCAGTCTCAACAAGAAACGCAGTCATGAGGCATCCATGTCATACTCACCAAAGCTAGTTATAAGTAACCACTGAAATTATCAAGTTCACGAGTTACCATAATAGCACATTCTTTAGAAATTGTGGATTATTCATGTTTATCAACAGAAGCTTTAGCAACTAGATTCATTTTTTCAAGATCAAAAACTAAGTGGTGAAAATAACGTCATAGAGTGCAGAGGGCATTAAAACTCTGGTGACTAAAGTCAAATTCATGCCAGATTATCAGAAATATATATAAGAGCTTTAGAAGTAACACTATTCAAGTTAAGTTGCTTCTTTATACATCACACATATTCTAAATCATTTTGTCTAAGAAATGAGAAAGTGAACATTCTCCTTCCTGGAATCAACCTTCAACTGCATTCAATGAAACAAAAAATTCTGAAGACTCCATGAGTAAATTCTATGATATACCAACTGGGATATGCTTACATACCAATGTAAAAGTTCTTCTTTGATTTAGTTTTCTTTTGGTCTCAGAAGAATTCAAGAAATCCAGAAGCCTGTAAATAAGAAAAAAAAAAAAAAAAAGAAAAAGAAAAAGAAAAGATTTGGCTTAAGGAAAAGATCTAGAACACAACAATCAAAATGATCTAGGAGTACTGAGAGTGGTAACGTGTGTTAGGCTTAAAAAAAAAAAAGAGGAAGTTGATAAAAATCTGCAAAATCATGGATGTCATTCTTAGAACGAAAATTGGCTCATTCTCTGAGCCACAAAATAGAGGTACTGCTTCCAAGTGAAAAGAAAGCCTCTAAAGTATTTATTACTCACCAAACGAGGTAAAAGATGGCAATAGAAATTCATTTTACATTAACATTTTAATTTATCAATAGTTTAAACACTATTTAGGAAAAGATTAAAATGAATCTGTAATTTTCTCATTGGTCTCCTTCTGGGAAGAATAGAAAATAAGTAAGAGAGAATTTCTTATTCCTTCTCCAAAAACAGAGAAGAGCTCCAGGTAGAAGGTAAAACTCAGTGGCTGGTGTCTATCATAGACTTTTGCCTAATCCTACAGAGTCACATTGAAGACTAAGCTGCACCTGATCCAAGCCATGATACTTTCAGTTGCCTCATATGCATGCAAAAGCTGGACAATGAATAAGGAAGGCCAAAGAAGAATTGATGTCTTTGAATTATGGTGTTGACGAAGAATATTGAATATACCATGGACTGTCAGAAGAATGAACAAGTCCCTCTTGGAAGAAATACAGCTAGTGTGCTCCTTGGAAGCAAGGATGGAGAGACTTCATTTCACAAACTTTGAACATGTTATCAGAGGGGCCAGTCCCTGGAGAAGGACACAATGCTTGGTAAAGTAAAGGGTCAGTGAAAAAGAGGAAGACCTTCAATGAGCTAGACTGACACAGCGGCTGCAACAAATGGGCTCAAGCATAACAATGATTATGAGGATGGCACAGGACCAGGCAGTGTTTCCTTCTGTTGGACATAGGGTCGCTATGAGTCAGAACCAAGTCAATGGCAATGAGTTTTGGTTTAACACAAAATTTTAATATGAAAATCACCCATCTAAAACTATATCCAGGGGCAGGGCCAAGATGGCAGAGTAGTCAGACACTTCCAGTGGACCCTGTTACAACAAAGACCCGAAAAAACAAGTGATTCGATTATATATGGCAACCTGAGGGCACTGAATATCAAAGGCAGAGTTGAGGAACTGGACTGAGTGGCAGGGGGAGGAAGAGAGGGTTTCAAAGCAGCGAGGAGTTGCCAGACCTGACCCGGCAAGAGACTGAGCCCTTCAGGTATGAGGAGCTCGTGGGTGAGCAGCGAGACAGGCAAGCGATGATGCTAAGGAAGCGCAATTTCTGCACCAGGAGAGACCCAGTACCAGAGAGTCTACACAGTCACCCAGAACTAGTGAGAATCAGCCCTCATTGGCAAAAGATAAGTACCTGTGTACGGCTTACTGCATGGATCAAAAACACCCCCCTAAGGGAAAAACCTCTCTCCCATTTACCTTCCTTCTCCCTGCTCTGCACTGGGTCCTGGACCAGCTTCAGCAATTGACAAGTCCTCTGGGCCGGAAGTAGGATCCGTCACATGCCCGAAGCCATTCTCCCTGCCTTGGAGAGTGAACAAATTAACAAACACGGAAAAAAAATAAACTGCCAGCTCCCCTAGCCAGGAACCCAGGGTAGGCACAGCTCCTTTGTCTAGGCACAGGCATAAGGGATCCATGGACTTTGAGTGCCTTTCCCCCTGCATAGACTTGTGTGGGCCCATTTCAACAGCGTAGACCCTCATTACTGCAGTACAACAGGGTATACACCGGAACTCTAACTTCAACTGTTTCAGCTTTAAAGTGGCAGGTTATGACATTTGACACTGCTCTGCCCATTAAGCAGGATCTTCACCTACCCACATCAGGGGCCTGAGGACTGGTGGCTCCACCCATGCCATCTAGCCACCTGCAATAGGTGCCCATGAATAAGAGATGCCCCCCAGTCCTTAGAGCCAACAGCATTAGGTGCTCGTAGTCCAGCTGCAAAACCTACCCACTTATGTGCTCTAGGAAACAGGGACACGCCTTCCTCCTGGATACTCGAGGCCGGCTGTCAGCCCCCTGCCTTGATCAGAGTGTGTCCCCATGTTACAGCCAGATGCCTGTGCCTACACCAATCACCCATGCCTGTCTAGGACAGTAAGTGAGAGCCTATGCCAAACACTTGGTGGCTATCTATCTGGGCACCTGAGCTGAATCCATACAGGAGGAGTGGGCAGACTCCTGAGCTCACATACCTAGTAACAAATCTAATCAACTGGTGACAGGACATTAGAGCTTCAAAGGTGCCAATAATCCAACTACACATACAAGCAGCCTATTTGGGCATATCAAAACAAAACAAGAAGCTAGGACACAGTAAGCAAACATAAAATAAATAAATATCATAACTTATTGATGGCTCTGAGACAACAGTCAATATCAAATCACATAAAGAGGCAATCCATGAAGGCTTTAGCAAGCTCCCAAAATAAAGAATCTAGAAATTTTCCAGATGAGGAAAATTTCTTGGAATTACCAGAGGAAGAATACAAAAGATTAATATACAGAAGTCTTCAAGAAATTAGGAAGGAAATTAAGCAAAACACAGAACACACAATAGAGGAAATTCAAAAGATTAGAGAAGAGCATAATGACAAATTTAACAGGCTGCAAGAATCAATAGAGAGACAGCAATCAGAAATCCAGAAGATTAACAATAAAATTTAAGAATTAGACAACTCAATAGAAAGTCATAGGAGAAGAATTGAGGCAATGGAAGTCAGAATTAGTGAGAATGAGGATAAAGCACTTGACACCAACTTATTTGAGGAAAAATCAGATAAAAGGACTTACAAAAATGAAGAAACCCTAAGAATTAGGTGGGACTCTACCAAGAGGAATAACCTACGAGTGATTGGAGTACCAGAACAGAGGGGGATAACAGAAAATACAGAGAGAATTCTTGAAGATTTGTTGGCAGAAAACTTGCCTGATATCGTGAAAGATAATGATATATCTATCCAAGATGCTCATCAAAAACCACGTTAAGGTAAATCCCAAAAGAAAGTCACCAAGACATATTATAATCAACCTTGCCAAAACCAAAGATAAAGAGAGAATTTTAAGAGCAGCTAAGGATAAATGAAAAGTCATCTACAAAGGAAAGTCAATAAGAATAAGCTCGGACTACTCAGCAGAAACCATGGAGGCAAGAAGACAATGGGATGACATATATAAAGCCTTGAAGGAAAAAAACTGCCATCCAGGAATTATATATCCAGCAAAACTCTCTCTCAAATATGATGGCGAAATTAGAGCATTTCCAGATAAACAGAAGTTTAGCG